AGTTTAGTGCCAAATTTGACGCCGTTTCTAACCCGTCTTTTTATTTAATTAATTCCTGCACTTGCCACATAAAAAGGGGTTAAGGCCATCTATCGTCCCTCTACTATCAAAAATAGTGCATTCTAAACCTTCTACTATGGATTGGCTTCATGTCGTCCCTCTATTATTAATTAACTCCACTTGTCGTCCCTCCGTCCACTGTAACTAACGGTGCTGTTTATTGACAGTTAAATGGAACGGTCACACCAATTAATTTTTTTTTTCCACCCTTTCTTGCTGGGCCCACCTTTGTCACATCATCTCTCACACAAATTTTTTTGCCTTAGCCTGGACTTACTACTGCCTCCCCAACCCCGACGTGGATCCTGCATAAGGGAAATATCGAATTTACAATTGATAATTTTTAAATAATAAAATATAAAAATCTCATAATTTGAGAAGATAATAAATAAATAAAGATGACAATTTTGTTATTAATCTATTTAAAAATATAAATTTTTTAGATTTTTAAATTAAATAGTAAATTTCTTTTTTTTTTTAAATGATAATATAAAATTTTACAATTTTTCTTACTTTTTTTTAAGATTTATTAGAAAATAATGATAACATAACACATGATAATCTTAATCAAAATAGGATAATATTTATCTATTTAAATTAAAAAAGTGACAATTTACTATTATATACTTCAAGAATAAAGGAAATTTTAGATAATCTTATGAGACACTGAGATATATAGTTTATTGGCATATTCAGTAAGGGTTGTTTTTTTTTTAATTTAAAATTTCAAAAAAATTATATTTTTGAGTAAAAAAATTGATAAAATCATATTTTTATTTAAATCTTTTCTAATCAATTGAGAATTTACAAAAAAACTAGTATGTTGAAGATGCAAAAAATTTTATTCAAGATCAAATAGAATACAAAAAGAGTGGGAACTATGGCAAAAAAATTTTTATTTTGTTTGATCTTAAATGAAATTCTTTGCATATTCAACACATTAGTTTTTCATGAATTCTCAATTGATTAAAAAATGTTTAGATAAAAATATGACTTTATCAATTTTTTTATTCAAAAAAATAAGTTGTTTGAAATTTTAAATTAAATAGTAAATTTTCCCTTTTTAATTTAAAAAAATTTTTAAATTAAAAATAAAACCTCTACTGAATATGCCAGTAAACTATATATATCTCCATGTCTCACTAAATTACTTAAAATTGCCTCAATTCTTGAAGCATATTATAATAAATTTTCACTTTTTTAATTTAAATACATAAATATTATCCTATTTTGATTAAAATTGTCATTTGTTACAATATCATCATTCTCTAATAAATCTTCAACTATTGGAAATTTCTTCTAACCATTGGAAATATGTCACTAATTAAGTTCTTCATGCATACAGGTTCTTTACGTGAATAAACAGAAGAAGTCACTCCCCCTTCTTCTATTGCAGGCTTCTCTAATTGGATTAGTAGACACACAGATGCTGACGGAGCATCTAAATAGAAAAGTCCACGAGGTTCCAAAGATACTTTACTAGTCTGTCCAGGCAAATGAGAAACAGTGAATTTTTAAGTCATCAATATAAAAAACCAAAGCACCAAAGAATTTAATGCTAAATCAGTTTTAAGGCTTACATCCTGCATTTCAGTTGGTAGAACGCTAAAATAGAAATCTTCTTGACAATTTTTCTCTTCTCTACCTATTGTATAAGCAAATTGTACCATAGAATGGCTCCGAGAGAAATAGAGGGGACAAGGTCAGAAATCTTAAG